CTACTTGTTTATTGTCGATTGCGTGCACATCGGTAGCTATAACGCAGAACCCAAGAATATCCCCAAGGGACGACTGAGCAGGCGGTCTTGAATTAGCTGCGACGGTGCCCGTGGCTTCATCGTTGGAATGTTTGGATGCTAGGGGCCCAGACCCTACAGCCTACCCTGGACCCTAGTAGGCTTTGGGTTTAGGGTTTAGGGTTTAGGGTTCAGGGTTCAGGGTTCAGGGTTTAGGGTTTAGGGTTTAGGGTTGAGGGTTTAGGGTTTAGGGTTTAGGGTTCAGGGCTGAGGCAGCCTAAACCCTGGACCCTACCCTGGACCCTAGTAGGGCACAAAGGTAACCTCAGGAGCCAAGACGTGAATATGGAGTTGGGATGTTCCCCGTTATACTAACAGTCCTTCATGGGGGTAATATAATCCCATTGAGGACTACACGGGCTCCGACTGCGAACTGAGTGCACGTCTTTTGATTCATGTATTCGGCCGGTTGTGATACAGGGTCTGGCCGCGCTTCCACCCTCGGGCGTTGTGGGTTTGGGGTGGGGAGTCTTCTGGATGACCCTACACCCGAAACATAACCCTGAACCCTAGACCCCAATATGGCACCCTGAACCCTAAACCCTAAACCCTAAACCCGAAACCCTAAACCCTAAGGGCAATACAGGGACTCATATTCTTTGCTTCTTGGGGGAGGGTTCTTAAGCAAATAGTAGGCTAAGGTTAGGAACGGAGGCCGCCAACCCTGCATCCTTCTGAGCCATCAGTGATCTACTGGGTAGATATGGGGATGTTCCCCCCTTATACTAACAGCCCTTACTGGGGGTTCTAGTACCCCCTATACTATAATCCCTATTAAGGACTCTTAGTAGAGGGGGGAGCATCCCAAAAGGTATGTACTATGTTTCTCCCTGATTTGGAGGTCTTGGCCGCCCAGCAAAACCATATCATAATAAGGGCACCCGTTTGGGGTTGGTTACTCTAGAGGGGAACCTTGAACCAAAAAAAGGGTAAACCCTAAACCCTAAACCCTAAACCCTAAACCCTAAACCCTAAACCCTAAACCCTAAACCCTAAACCCTAAACCCTAAACCCTAAACCCTAAACCCTAAACCCTAAACCCTAAACACTGGGCTACCAAGAGGTTAAGATCATGGGCGTCTGCATCGCCCGTCGGCTGTAAGGGAACTGCAGGTCTGCGCTGTCACTTCAAAGCTCCAGCGCAAGATATGTCACCCTAAACCCTAAACCCTAAACCCTAAACCCTAAACCCTAAACCCTAAACCCTAAACCCTAAACCCTAAACCCTAAACCCTAAACCCTAAACCCTAAACCCTAAATCCCTAAACCCTAAATAACAAATAACCCTAAACCCTAAAACCAACATCCAACCACCCGTACAAGCTTCGAGAGCCCATTCTCAGGTGGAAAAAGCCTTGCTGGTTGGATCTAGAGAGCCCCCGGTCGAACCTGTGTCGCCAGCGGGGTGAAGACAAAAGCCATGAAGAGGATCACCGCGATGAAGGGTCCGGCTGCGATGTGCACGATGCTCGGCACAGGTTGTGGCCTGGGTTTAGGGTTTAGGGTTTAGGGTTTGGGGTTTGGGGTTTGGGGTTGGGGTTTGGGGTTTGGGGTTTGGGGTTTGGGGTTTGGGGTTGGGGCAAAACAGCCCTCTGAAAAAGGCTCCGAAATCAAATGGCGAGCGGATTTAAACCCCAAGAAAGCAAATATGAAATGTGCCAATTGGGCCTACCTAGTGGCCCAGTGCACAGCGAGCTCCTCTCTCCGTCACCATCGGAATCGACAAGCTTTAACCATTCCATGGAAGACTCGTCGCCAAACTCGTCCTCCTTCATAGTCCCGTTGCGCTTGCTGCGGTCCATGAGAGGGATGGCTGACGTTTTGCTTGACTTCGATTGGGTCCGCTGGCGTGGACGGAATAAGGCGAAAGTAGGAGCTGATCTGCGCCTCTCGTCACACGGTTGCCGCACTGACGCGAAGCGCGAAGGAAAATACAAATATCCCGACTCTTGCTTGGGCCGAGCACGAACAACAGTGTCCGTATGTGCGCTGGAAGCACTGAAGAAAGGAACAGGGCGACCGGTAATTTTTTGGGACCGGGCGCAGACACAACCCGGGAAAAGGGTTCGCTGTAGGATTTAGGGTCTAGTTTCTGAGCCCTTTTAGATGCAAATAGGCCTCTATAGGCCTGAAACGGAAGCAGCTTCTTTCGTAGGCTGCACAAAAAGAGCGTAAGTCTTTAAACTAAGTTGCGTGTCTCTAGACCCAAGAGTACCCGAGGAATAGGTGCCTTGTGTGGTTTAAAGGGGCTTACAAGGAAACCCAAACCCTAAAAAAAGGGGAACAAGGGCCTAGCTCTTATTTCGTGGTATCTCTCGTAAACCCTAAGCCCCAAACCCTAAACCCTAAACCCTAAACCCTAAACCCTAAACCCCTAAACCCCTAAACCCCTAAACCCCTAAACTGCTCACGCGCCTTTGTTGGGCTCTCCGGGCTGCTTGTTGGGTTTAGGGTTTAGGGTTCAGGGTTTAGGGTTAGGGTTTAGGGTTTAGGCCAATTCTACGCGTGCTTAAACTAGGACCCAGAGTAGGCCCTCATTTCTCTTTGCTGGGATGTTTTTTTTTCGGCGCTCTCCTAAGCCCTGTAAACCAAAATATTCCTAGCTTACTCTTGGGTCTGGGTAATGTGTTCTTGGCTGCACTCAGGAGGGTAGCTAAAAACTAAACTTTTAGCTGCCTTACTAAGAAACCCAATTAACCCAAAAAGGATCAGGATCTAAAGTTACAGTAAAGTACCTTTTAGCTGCCTTATTAAGAAACCCAATTCACCCAAGAAGGGTCAGGATCTAAAGTTACAGCCTTATTCAGAAACCCCAATTAACCCAAAAAGGGGTAAGGATCTAAAGTTACAGCCTTATTAAGAAACCCCATTAACCCAGAAAGGGTCAGGATCTAAAGTTACAGCCTTATTAAGAACCCCAATTAACCCAAAAAGGCTAAGGATCTAAAGTTACAGTAAAGTACCACAAAGTGTTTCTCGGTGGTTGCAAGTAAAGTCCCGAGCCGGCGCAGGGATATCAGGGCTTTCACCTAAAACCCTAAACCCTAAACCCTAAACCCTAAACCCTAAACCCTAAACCCTAAACCCTAAACCCTAAACCCTAAAACCCTAAAACCCTAAACCCTAAACCCTAAACCCTAAACCCTGAATCATATTTAATAGGGATCCCAATATGACTGAGGCTTCATTTGGCGGTATTGGGCTCTTTGGGCTACAGTTGGACAATGAATACGTTAGTACCCCACACTCCTTCACTCTTGTACTCCCTTTGTAGGATCCTCTGAAACCCCAAAAGGGAGATTCTGAAATATCCCAACACCTTACCTAGCACATGTGAGGGTTTAGGGTATAGGGTTTAGTGTTTAGGGCTTACCCTGGCCCCTTATGTATGTATGTATGTATACATATATATATATATAAATAGATATAGTTTTGATATATATATATATATGTATATGCGGGGTTGGGGTTTGGGGTTTGGGTTTCTGGGATTTTTATAGGGTTTGGGGTTCGGCGTTTGGGGAGTTGGTTGGGTTCGATGCAGGGCAGCTTTGGGGCCCAAGTATAGGGCTTTGGGGTTTGGGGTTTGGGGTTTAGGGTTTGGGGTTTAGGGTTTAGGGTTTAGGGTTTAGGGTTTAGGGTTTAGGGCCCACATGGACGATGCGGGGGGGCTATTGGGGTTATGGGGTTTAGGGTTTGGGGTTATGGGGTTTAGGGTTATAGGGGGTGAACGGGGGGGTTATCGAGGTTGTAGGGGGTTGTGGCAACACTTCTACGAGACTGAACTGAACAAAGCTGACTCAAGAGAGGGGGGGTTACGCGGGGGCTATAGGGGGTTCTAAGGGTTGAGGGTAAAAGGGGTTTACAGGCTCAGGCAGGGCCTAGGGGATCTGCATCCCGGGTAAACGCTTCAAGCCGCTAAGCGACTAGGGTGTTTTAGGTTTAGTTTAGGGTTCAGGAATTGGGCATTCATCCTTGTATAATATCGCACGTCCTCACCTCACACCATGGTAGCCATGCGGCAACGTCAACCTTTTCCTCTTGCCATTGCACCATGATGCAGCGCAACGAGAGAGCCTGCGTGAAAAGAGGAGAAAACCCACAATTGTGTGGTAAAACCTCGCTGTACAAGCACAGGCCAACAAGAAAAGAACGCAACCGGGTAGCCGGAAGAGTATAACGGCCGGCTATCGGATCTCGAAACAGGGTAGTTACATGGATCCCCTAGTATGGGCCCTTACAAGGGTGCCCCTATATATCCCCCTTACATACTCTGCACAAATTAAGGGCCCATACATCAGAACCCTTTAAAAGCGGAAATAGGGACCTGTTAAGGGCCCATGAACACCACCCTTAGATTGAAACAGGCTCTGGCGGCCCAGCGCACCCATGCGCGCTAGCCGCCAGACTTGCCGAGTTGCTGAGCTATTTCGGGTAGTTCTCCAAATTTGGGTCCCTTTTGAGGTCCTTATTCTCAGGGCGCCGTACTAGATCACTAAACAGAGGACCAGGGTTTAGGGTTTAGGTTTAAGGTTTAGGGTTTAGGACCCCAAAAAGGTACCAGAATTTAGGGAACTAGCCATCACTTAAAACGCGATACTCCCTCAGCCCCACGCGCTGGCTGCTTTTCTGGAATTCCCAATCCCTAAACCCTAAACCCGAAGCCCAAAACCCTAAGACTATGAAACCAGTACCGCGGGCGACGGCATGAAGGCTCTCAGACCACCAAAAACACACTTGAAACGATTGGGTCGCACCATGAAGGCCCTGCCGGCCGAAATCCAAAACACTTGAAACCTTGGCTGCACTTAAGAGGGTAGCCAAAAATCAAAATTTTTAGCCGCCTTTATTAAGAAACCCAATAAACCCAAAAAGGCTAAGGATCTAAAGTCACAGTAAAGCACCACAAAGAAACTGTTGGGTCACACCTCGGAGGTCTTGCCGGCCAGGATCATATCCTCACTGGTTCGTAGAAGGGTTTAGGGTTTAGGGTTTAGTGTTTAGGGGTTGGGGTTTGGACAATTCGGTGCCCTAAGACTATCCAGTGAAGGATTCTGATTCTTGTTCGGAGGGGGCTCTAAAAGATGCAGAGTTCCCCCAACTGCAGCAAGTACTATACTTCCCTTAAGCCATCCTAAAGATACTCCCCTTGGCTTTCAACGGGCATGTATAGGAGAATATAAAGTGCCTAATTTCCCCATTCCCTTTTAGGAATCAGTAAGGGGTGGAACACAGCACCCTAAACCCTAAACCCTAAACCCTAAACCTTAAACCCTAAACCCTAAACCCTAAACCCCAAACCCTAAACCCTACTAAGGCGACTTGCGAGGCTCAGTGATGTCTTGGCACTCTTGCGGCCTCCCCTGCAGCGCCTCCACGAGGAAACGTGGCAGGACCTTCCACAACAAGATGTGAGGTTTAGGGTTTAGGGTTTAGGGTTTAGGGTTTAGGGTTTAGGGTTTAGGGTTTAGGGTTTAGGGTTTAGGGTTTAGGGTTTAGGGTTTAGGGTTTTGGGTTTTGGGGTTTAGGGTTTAGGGTTTAGGGTTTAGGGTCTAGGGTCTAGGGTTTAGGGTACTAGGGCCTGGGCTGGGTCCTCGCCCAAGATATGAAGCGTTGGACACTTTCGGCCCCTGTATCTTGAAACCACTGCAACAATTATGATGCTAGCGGTCCCTTAGCATTCTTTGGCCCTCAGCCCAAACCCTAGACCCTGAACCTGCCAAAGTAAACAATACGTTCAGGAACCTAACCCCTAAAGAACAAAAGGGAATAAGGGCCTAAGCCCTATACCTTTACACCCTCTAAGCCTACCTAAACCCTAAACCCTAACCCCTAAACCCTAACCCCTAAACTGTAACCCCTAAACCCGAAACCCGAAACCCTAAACTCGAAACCCTAAACCCTAAACCCTAAACCCCTAAACCCCTAAAACCCTGAACCCTGGGCCAACGCCGGTCCCCGAGAGAACGGGCCTGCTCTCGTACAAGCTCGGCGGCGGTGCAGCCGCGTGCATTCCGCAAGTCGATCCGTGCCCCCGCCTTGACTGGCTTGGGGTTTAGAGGTTGAGAGGTTGAGAGGTTGAGAGGCTTAGAGGTTTAGAGGTTTAGAGGTTGAGAGGATTAGAGGCTTGGAGGTTGAAAGGTTTAGAGGTCTAGAGGTTTAGAGGTTTAGAGGTTGAGAGGTTGAGAGGTTTAGAGGTTTAGGGTTCAGGGTTAAGGGTTTAGGGTTTAAGCCACTGCCTCGCTGTGGATTAGGGGTCATGCAGTTTCAGGTTTAAGGGTTTAGGGTTTAGGGTTTTTGGGGGTTTCGTCTAGCAAGGGTTTAGGGAGGGGGTTTATGGGTGTAGGGTTTAGGGCTAGCAAGGGTCAAGGGTTTAGGGGTTTATCGGGTGCAGAGCGTTTGGGTTCTCAAGGGTGTGGAAGGTATGGATTTCCTGCTTATTCCATCCAGGCCCTGGCCCGGCAACGGATTTCGGGGATCTTGGCTTTCGGCATGAAAGACCAAAGTGGGGAGTCCTCCATAAGTAGGGTTTAGGGTTTACGGTTTAGGGTTTAGGGTTTGGGGCTGCGTGCCCTGCGCTTTCCTTGCTCGAGATTGACTTCGTTCACGCCTTAACCTCTCCCAGTCGACCTCCACGTGGGGCGCGAATGCAATTATGTGCCCCTCAAGCTGTTGGACGGCTTCGCTTCTGTCCTGTCTGCCGGGATTCGCCTTTCGCGATGCTCGACATCCGTGTCGGGCAGACGAAAAAACTTTAAACAACGACCTAAACCCTAAACTCCTAAACCCTAAACCCTAAACCCCTAAACCCTAAACCCTAAACCCTAAACCCTAAACCCTAAACCCTAAACCCTAAACCCTAAACCCCAAGATGCGACATCATTTCAGAGCGGTGTGGGGTCTGCCCAGTTCACAAGGATATGAACCTGAGGAGGGACTGTGTGTGTGCCCAAGCCAGAGAAATCTGAAACTCTCTTCGGGTTTAGGGTTTAGGGTTTAGGGTTTAGGGTTTAGGGTTTAGGGCCTGTTAAACACAGTAAAGGAAACTATGCAAATGTCCTGCCGAGCGCTTGCAAAAGGATTCAGAGCATGGGAGTCCTTGCTACCGGTTTGACCCCCCCCCCCCCCCCGTCCGAAAAAGTACCAAAACAACAATCCCCATATTGCCTTTATCGAGGAAGAATGCTTTTGATTTTTGGGTGGTTCTGGAGCAAAGAGTAGTCAAGGAACACCAACCGGGCCTAGATTTCGGAACAGCCGTGCTATAGGGTCTAGGGTTTAGGGTTTAAGGTGCCAACTTCCGTCTGAGGTGCCGCGATGAGCGCCGCCGCACCCTCATACTGCGCGGACAGTAGTGCGGCCATGAGCGGAGTCGCACCCCAGGCGTGGTAGCACTGCCTGGTTAGGGGTGTGGGTGTAGGGTTTAGGGTTCAGGGTTTGGGACCTGCTGGGGTTACACCCGAAACCCAAAACCCGAAACCCAAACCCTAAACAGTTAAGGTTTAGGTTAGGGGTGGACAGGTGTCAGCCCCAAGAGTGAAAAACCTGGCTATCGGAACAAAAGACTCCTGTAAGTCAAGGCCGTTCGGTCGTGGAGCAATCTTCAACAATCCTTAACCTTAAACCCAAACTTAGTAGCCCAGTAACCATACCATAATAAGGGCATCCTCTTTTTGGGTTGGTTACTTCACAAGGGAACCTTGAACCCCAAAACATGGAAAAAGGTACCACTGACCTACCAAGCAAAAAATAACACGTCTTTAGTCTTGCTTCCTCCGTGCCACCCAGGCTCACCATCGAACGCTCCCCCCGTTTTTTTTCTATTTTCACTTCTGTTATGTTTTTGTTGGGGGGGGGGGTGGGGGGCGGGGGTCTTGGCCCATGCCCCTCACCAAAAAGAAGGGCACCCTTTTTGGGTTTACAGGGGCTTTCAAGGGAATCTGAACCCTAGCAAAATGGGAATATGAGTCCTATAGTAGTACTGAGTAGAAAGAATAAGAGATAGGATTTGGCGGGACCCTTGGGAATATAGACCCTCTGAATAAGGCCCTGTTTAAGAGAGCCAGAAGAGGGTTAAGAAGGGTTCCCTTTTAAGGGTCCCCACGTATCCTACCTAGGAAAGAAGGCATTGGTACATGAAGCTTCAGGGTACTTATAACCCCAGTTCTAACTGTACTTATAAGCCCCCCCCCCCCCCCCCTAAGTCCCCTAAGTATGTTCAGCAAACTTAGAATAGGGGTTATAAGTACCCGTGAACCTCCAAGCGATGCATCTTGACTATAGACTCAACAGGCTCCTGCACATGCCTCAGGCCTTCAGAGCCGGGGAGCTCGTTGAAGGCCCACCCTCTACTGGGGGGGGGGGGGGGGGGAGGGGGGAAATTAAACCCTAAAGCCCAAACCCTAAGCCAAAAGCTTTCGGTGGGCTCTCAGAGGGCCACTCCTCGAACAGCAAAAAACATCCATACTTTTGAACAACGCACAACATGTTTGGAGTCAGTTGTGTATATTGAACGCAAAGAAATCAACTTACGTTACCTGGTGGAGGTCGGTTTCGTCAAGCTGAATGTTGGAACATCCCTCCCCCACCTCCCCCCAACTAAGCCCTTACATACAACCCCCCCCCCCCCCCCTCCTCCAATGAACAGACAATATGGGACAGGAAAGATATCCGTTCTTAAGGTTAAAAGATATTGGGGCCAGCTTTGTTTGAGGCCGGGGGGGGGGAGGGGCTGCTCGGGTTTACACCCTAAACCCTACACCCTAAACCCTAAACCCTGAACCCCAAACTCTACACCTACCAGAAATGCAGGCTCTTGGTTCTTAAGGTCTTGAACTGCCCCCTCAGGGGGTTGCTCTTGGAATACTGTTGAACTGGTCTGACTCTGTTTGGGGTCTACGGGCCTGGAGCATGAAAAGGTCTGAAAGGAATAGCTCCTAGGGCCCAATAGCAGCCTAGGCATAATTCAGGGAACCTCAACCCTACAAAAAAGGGCCCTCTGGATCTGGGCCTTTTAGGAGTACGGAGAAGTGAAAAAGGAACCCTAAACCCTAAAGCCTAAACCCTAAACCCAAAACACTAAACCCTAACCCAGGACTTAAGGGTCAAGGGTTGAAGGATCCTGCTGTATTTTGGGGTTCCCCAAGCCCCCAAACTTGGCCCTCAACACCACACAGCACTTACTGCCGCTGCACGGGGAGGTGCCGTAAACCCTAAAGCTAAACCTTAGCCCTGAACCCGAAACCCTACGATTTTCGGAACTGAACCCTAAACCCTACGATTTTCGGAAAGGGCCTCGTGCTGTTGGTGACCCTGCCGAAACGGTGCTGCATGCCCTTCACCCCCAAGTACAGCGCATGCAGGGACACCGCTTTCAAAGGATACCTTGGTTCTCAGGGTCGTTGCAGTGTCCCTCAATAGGGTTCAGGGCTCAGGGTTCTAGGGTCTTAATTGGGAAACCCTTATGTACCCCTTATATGGCCTCCAAAGTAAACCCTGAACCCTAACTCTGTGTCCTGGTTTATGTGTTTGTGCTTTGCTTCAAGGGGCTTGAGTGTTGGTGGGTTTTTGATAGTCAGTTAAAGAAAGAAACCCAGGATGCTTTTGTGGTTTGGGGTTTGGGGTTTAGGGGCACAGAACCACCGAGCAGGTCCGCTGCATGTACTCTAAAACCTAAACCCTAACCCTAAACCCTAAACCCTAATGCTTCGTTGCCCTGGTGCTTATGGTTCACGTCCGCCCTGACCTGGATGAGGCGCTGGATGACTTGAGCTTGGCCTCCGCGGAAACCTCGGCGGCCCAGTCACCATATTTTAGTAAGGGCACCCTTTTTGGGTTGGCTACTTTAGAAGGGAACCCCACAAACAGCAAAAGGATACTACTGGGCTACCACGACTTCTAACACCTAAACCCTAAAACCCTAAAACCCTAAAACCCTAAAACCCTAAAACCCTAAAACCCCAAAACCCTAAACCCTAAACCCTAAAACCCTAAACCCTAAAACCCTAAACCCTAAACCCTAAACCCTAAACCCTGGAGGTACCACCTGGGCTACCAAGAAACTGGTGGCGGAGTAGATGGCGCGGTTGAGAATCCAGCTGCTCATACTTCCCCCGGCCTGAACCAGGATCTCGTTCATGGCCTCAAGGATGCTGTTCGCCCCAGAAACCCTAAACCCTAAACCCTAAACCCTAGACCGTAGACCCTAGACCCTAAACCCTAAACCCTAGACCCTAAACCCTAAACCCTAAACCCTAAACCCGAAACCCTAGACCGTAGACCCTAGACCCTAAACCCTAAACCCTAGACCCTAAACCCTAAACCCTAAACCCTAAACCTTCCGCGGCCTCCAGGCTTCCTTGGGCAGCGGCAGCCTCCAAAGCGCTCAAGCCGAAGATGTCCTGATCCCAAGAAACAGGGCTTAGGGTTTAGGGCTAGGGTTTAGGGTTTAGGGTTTAGGGCTTAGGGTTTAGGGTTTAGGGCTTAGGGTTTGGGTTTAGGGCTTAGGGTTTAGGGCTTAGGGTTTAGGGCTTAGGGTTTAGGATTTAGGGCTTAGGGTTTAGGATTTAGGGCTTAGGGTTTCCGGTGTTTTTGCTTAAAGGGCTTTAGGGCTTTGGGTTCGGGGTTTCTGGTCGTTTCTTTAAATTTAAAGGCTTTAGGAAAATCTTAAAGGTTTCCGGTGTCCATTTAGGATTAGGGTTTAGGGGTTCTGGTGTTTATTTCAGAGATTTACGGTGTTTAAGCCGATTTTAATTCAAGGGCTTTAGGGCTTCCGGTGTTTATTTAAGGGCCTCAGGGTTTAGGGTTTCTGGTGTTCATTTAAGGGGTTTAGGGTTTCTGGTGTTTATTTAAGGGCTTCAGAGGTTTTTGAGGTATTTTGTTGTTCTCTGAGCTATTTTTTTTTTTTGTTCGTGTGTGCGTGTGTGCGTGTGCGCGCGCGCGCGGCGTGTGTGTGTGTGTGTGTGTGTGTGTGTGTGTGTGTGTGTGTGTGTGTGTGTGTGTGTGCGCGTGCTTTTTAGGGGTTCAAACGCCAAACCGTTAAAATCCTCAAACCCATCGTGAACCGCAAGCTCCGCCCCCCCCCCCGCCCCCAAACTTTTGACAGCCTAGAAGCACCTAAACCCTAAACCCTAAACCCTAGACCCTTAACCCTAAAACCTAAACCCTAAACCCCTAAACGGTTCAGGGTTTGGGGTTTAGGGTTCAGGGTTCAGGGTTTGGGGTTTGGGGTTATGGGTTCAGGGTTTGGGGTTTAGGGTTTGGGGTTTAGGGTTTGGGGTTTAGGGTTCAGGGTTCGGGGTTTAGGGTTTAGGGTTCAGGGTTTGGGGTTTAGGGTTTGGGGTTTAGGGATTTGGGTTTGGGGTTTAGGGTTTAAAGCTGAGGGTCGATAGTAGCGCAATAACCATATTATAACAAGGGCACCCTTTTTTTGGGTCTAGGGTTTAGGGTTTAGGGATAAGGGAACCTTGAACCCCAAACAAGGGAAAAGGGTACCACCGGGCTACCAAGATCAGAATTGTTCGACCGCAACTACCTTCACGGAAGGGTCCGGATCTTACCCTAGACCCCAAACCCCAAGACCCAAACCCCAAACCCTAAACCCTAGACCCTAAACCCCTTAAACCCTTAAACCCTAAACCCTAAACCCTAGACCCTAGACCCTAGACCCCAAACCCTTTGGGATTTACAAGGCACGACGGGGATGTAGGGTCTATCATGTTTTCGGGCTTCTCGAGGTGACCGGCTTTCCAGCACCATGGCCTAAGCCCTGAATCCTCAACTTAAAATGGTTAGGGTTTAGGGTTTAGGGTTTAGGGTTTAGGGTTTAGGGTTTAGGGTTTAGGGTTTAGGGTTTAGGGTTTAGGGTTTAGGGTTTAGGGTTTAGGGTTTAGGGTTTAGGGTTTAGGGCTTAGGGTTTAGGGTTTAGGGTCTATATAGGGTTTAGGGTTTAGAGTGCCGGCCTTCGCAGTGTGCGGGTTGCAATTTGCCTCGCAGAGGATGCGAATGCCCTCGGCGTTGTTGCTCAGGCCTGCGTGACGAAGGGTCACGTACCCGCACAGTCCTATTGAGCCCTACAAGTCTGCAACTCCGTACAACCTAAACCCTAAATCCTAAACCCTAAGCCTGAAACCCGCCTTAGACTTTAAGGCGTGTCGGGGTTCCGGCTAACTCCGGCAGCCGGCACGGCAGTCGCAACGAAGGAGTTCCGTCAGCTAAGTTAAATTAGGGCTTGGGGTTTGGGGTTTAGGGTGAAGGTGCCGGCACATGTGTCAGCCGTGCTGGAACATAGATGGTTGCACCCGTCACAGAGTGGACGCCGGTAGATGCACCAGCAATGCGCTCAGCAGAACACTCGCACAGCCTTCAGTTTCTCAGTCGCGAGACTGTTGATGTTAACTTCAGGACAGCGCAAATAGAAATGGTTTTGGTTGCACAAGTCCCTAAACCCTAAACCCTAAACCCTAAACCCTAAACCCTAAACCCTAAACCCTAAACCCTAAACCCTAAACCCTAAACCCTAAACCCTAAACCCTAAACCCTAAACCCTGACCTGACCCCTAAACCCTAAACCCTAAACCCTAAACCCTGAACCCTGAACCCTGGAAGCCCTGCCGCCCTAGGAAGCCAAGGGAGGGCTTGAACCTAGGGCGCAACACAAACCAGCGGGGGGGGGGGAGGCGGGGGGTCTGCACAGAAAACAAACCTTGAACCCCAAACCCTTAACCCTACACCCCAAACCCTAAACCCTAAACCCTAAACTCTAAACCCTAAACCCCAAACCCCAAACCCTCAACCCTAAACCCCAAAACCTAAACCCTAAACCCTCGGAGCCCGAGACTCTCCCAAGCACCCTGAATCCAGAGTCGACTTGCCAAGCCTGCCAAGTTTAAAGCCGGCTGCAGACCACCATCGATTCCTAGGCCCAGGAGTAAGGTTTAGGGTTTAGGGTTTAGGGTTTAGGGTTTAGGGTTTAGGGTTTAGGGTTTAGGGTTTAGGGTTTAGGGTTTAGGGTTTAGGGTTTAGGGTTTAGGGTTTAGGGTTTAGGGACTCAGGAGTACGTAACCTAGGAATAACGAGGCCGCCCTTTTTGGTTTCAAGGGCTTGTAAGGGAACCCCAACCATGAAAGATGGAAATAAGGGCCTGCTCCGGGTCCGAGATTCTGGCCTTTGCGTCCACGAGGAGTCGCGCGGCCTTGTTGTGCCGGAAAAACCTTCAGGGGTTTCAATTATTCAAAGTCTTCTGTGTAGGGTTTAGGGTTTAAAGGTCTAGGTTTTGGGGTTTTGGGGTTTTGGGGTTTTGGGGTTTTGGGGTTTTGGGGTTTTGGGGTTTTGGGGTTTTGGGGTTTTGGGGTTTTGGGGTTTTGGGGTTTTGGGTTTTTGGGGTTTTGGGGTTTTGGGGTTTTGGGGTTTTGGGGTTTTGGGGTTTTGGGGTTTTGGGGTTTTGGGGTTTTGGGGTTTTGGGGTTTTGGGGTTGATTGGGTAAGGTTTTCTGCTCAGGGCTTAGGGGCCGCCGCCTCTTTTGCGTGAGATGTTCTGCGCGTTGGCTCGATAAGTTACTTTGCGACCCCCCCCCCCCCCCCCCCCCCCCCCCCCTTACTTTGCAGCAGACCCTGGAAAAGGTATATATATTTTTGGTATAAGTAGCTACAATAGGAACCCGGAACCAACAAAAAACATTAAAGTATAGCACTCCAAAACCCCCTTTCCCCCCTCCCCCCCCGCACATGCAAATGGCCAGCGCTGATGCGAAAGGCGGCATCCCTACAAGTGGCTGATCCTTCTTGGTCTGAAGGTTTAAGTCCTGAGTTGTGCTTTGAAGCAGCAACAGGTACTTCTGAAAGAGAATTCTCGCATATGAATTTTGAAAAATGATCCCAAAACACTGGCCGGCGTCTGCTTTCTGCTCCAGCAAGCCCTGGATGAGGCCGGGGTCACCACCCAAGGCGGCGTAGTGCAAGGTGGACCACCCACGGCTGTCGCTGTCTTTCACGGACCTGAAGCCATTCCTGAGACTTCGCAGAGTTCAGCACACGACTTTCACAAGGGACTCGTTTGTTGCAGAGGAAGTGGTTGACCCTTCATACTCGTTCCTGTGCTCACATCTGAATCATGGCAGGCTCTAGGTACCGGGATCCCGATAAAAGGTTTGCTCAACTTGCATCCCAGGGAGCTGATGCAGAAAGCGTGCCACCACGAGGGATGCAGGACTCGATTTCAAATCTTCGGCTTTCTCGAAACCGGGGACCAAGTCCTCTATGGGCTCCCACTGCAAGCCACGGAAGGTGACGGCCTGCTGCTCTCACTGTTTGGGGGGTCAGTGTTTGGGGAACGACAAATCTTGGCTGCACTTAAGAGGGTAGCTAAAAATTAAATTTTTAGCTGCCTTGATTAAGAACCCCAATAAACCCAAAAAGGCTAAGGATCTAAAGTTACAGTAAAGCACCACCCAGAAATCCGGAGAGTGCCCTTCTGAGGCTACAGGTGGTGGCTGGTAATCTCCTGATCGCAGATTGTGCAGAAATGCCGAATCTCTGCTGGCAGGTTAGGCTTTTCGTGGTTTGCAACGCGAGTGTGTGGCTGACGAGAAGAGCTCCAGCACGGTAAGTACATATAAATGTGTACATGTACGCATATAGAAAAGGTATACATACATACATACATACAGACATACATACAATCATATATGCATACACACATACACACACATACACACATACATACATTAGACACATAGACACATAGACACATAGACACATAGACACATAGACACATAGACACATAGACACATATACACATATACGCACATAGATTTTTTAAACACACAATATATATATATATATATGTATATGTATATATGTATATTTACATATGTACATGCACGTTGACACGTCTACATACATATGATATATGATATATGATATATATGTATACATGACATACACGACACACATACCAGTATGACTAGTTCTCTGGATTCGGGTCCCTTGTTGGGTCCCCTATGTAGTGCCGTACTATATGCATGCACAGACAAGAGAAGCACGTGCTCATGCGATTTTCTACGCAAGGCGCGCAAAGGCCTTGAAGTTTGGAGCTGGGGATGGGGTGAATAGTACACTCACCCGGCCTGCAGGTTCAGAAACA